TATGGTTCAGAAAGCATTTCAAGTTTGGCCAAATATCGAGTGTATGCCTTACCATTTTTAAGAACCAGGTAATGCTAATGAATATGATTATTATATGCCTGGGTGATGAAGCACATTGTCACCCGAGAGCCTGTCTATCAGTTCTCTCCATAACTTGCCAGAGACTAATTGGGCAGACTGGTGGCAGTAGGATTTGGAGTATGAAGCACCAGGCGTCTTGCACTATGGTTAATGACAACTTGAGAAGCTTTGCACCATTTGCACCATTGCACTATTACACTATTGCACTATTTGCATTCTATTGCTGAAAACAATGTGGACAACAGCACTGTTATCCTTGGAAATCACATGGCTCCCCCATTCCATTGTGTGGAAGATCTTTCACTAGTTTTCCTTACTGGTGAAGTGAATATTGCTGCATTTTTACACAAACCTCACACAGTCAGAAATGCTGCATGATGCCTACAGAATGGCAATGCGACAATCAATTCATAATATTTACCTTCTTATGATTCCAAAAAACACTCAGGGTGGCTTAATCAATTAATGAAAAACAACCCATGACTGATTAGCACAAATAACTTATTTTTTTCTGCTCCAATACTGCTCGTATAAAAATCTGCATGATTAATCAGAGGTAATTTGTGAGAGAGCAAAAAAAAAAAAAAATGGGGACAAAAGAAGATTCATCAGGCAGAGCAGTCATGGAATAATAAAGCTCATTTTGATTCTGTTAAAATTGAAGAGCCCTCAGTATCAGACTGAAAATTACAAATCGGGTTTGCAATTTCCCTGAAGCCAGACTCTGATTGCAGCAAATGTCACTCCACTTGATCTCCTTGTTTCATAGAGTGTTACTGACACACACGTAGGGAAAGGACACTGGACACTCCAGTCCACGTAGTGGGCTGCAGATGCCAGACCTCTGCATCTACGATAACTGCATGCGACATACACCACTACAGACCAGGAAGTGTGCTCCCCGAATCATTTTTGTTTTACAGTGGCAGAGCTTTTCAACAGTAAAATAATAATCACTTTCCCCTAATTCATCTATTGCCTCTTTTCTTTTAATAATCTCTGAATGTGGAATTCCCAAGAAAGAAACCATAGGGGTGTATCAGATATCGTTACAAAGCAACTAGAGCTGAACCATGTATTTCCTACTCAGGTTTAAAATATGAAACTGTCCAATGACAGTTTATGTATTCACTCTGATCAACAGGTAGTGACAGTAGAGTGTTACAGAGCAGTAGGAAGGCAGACAAGCCCTACTGCACCTACCTCTGGGGCAAGGAAGACAGGCAGCCAAGAAGTGGACAAATCAGATAATTTCAAAGAGTAATATATGCTATGAAAGCAAAATAAAGTAACATGATATAATAAATAAAGGACTCTTATATGACCTGGGTAAGGAAGGTCAGAGAGCTGAATGACAAGAAATAGTGAGTCGTTGGAAGACATAGAGGGAAAGCATTGCAAGATGACAAAGAACCAGCATGAAGACAGTTAACTGGGAAGGTCGTTGGTGGCAAAAAGCCAAAGAGAGAAGGAGAAAGAGGTCACTGCCACTGAGTCACCATAAAAGAGGAGAGGAAGAGCAGATGAGGTCAGCCACGTGGGCAAGTCCAGTTCAAGAGGGTGGAGCTTTGCAGGCACCATTGAGAAATTTAGATTTTCTTCTCAATGCCATGGGAAGCCATGAGTTTGGAGAGAAGTCATTTTGAAGGCTGTTGCAATAGCTCCACAGCCAGAAATGACAGTGATTTGGACCAGGGTGGTATTCCTGGAATTCTTAAAAGTATCTTTACATTTTTCTCAGGTCTAGACATTTTTTTTTTCCTGGATCCTCTGATGCCATTTATTTGCTACCAAAGAGATTTTTTCCCCCCTAACTATATAAACACACATGCATAATTGGTCTAGAAGTCAAGAAGTTATGGAAGGATGCCTTTTGAATGGTTCATATTTCACTGTACTTGAGGGAATGAATTTCTGCATTTCCTTGACTCTAATATGTTATTTATTGAAGATGCACTCTTATTTGATGTACTACTAAGAAAAAATGTTCCCAATTAAACTATGATACAAGTCTTCCTTAGTCCATAACAATTTTCTTTCACACATTGAAAGGGTCCTTTTAGCATTATTAGGGGAGTGTTTTTTTTTTTTTAACAGTTCTATTTTCACATTTCTCGACATGCAATAAATTTTAATTGTAAAGCTAAAGCACAATGTAATCTTTTGGAGACATTTTAAATGGCAATTAAAATCAGCACGTGTGATATCAATAATGCACATAACTCAACTGAAGTGGCTATGAAAATATGTAAAGCTATTTCTGCATCCGTGCAGTTCAAATCCGTGAGAACTCACCCTAACAGCCCCCTGACCAACAATGATTGGAAGACACTATCATTTGCAAGACACATTCTGATGTTAGAGATGTTAAAATAGCTAAAATGTGCATGTTATAATTGATGGTGTAGTATTAGTGGGAAGATTTCTTAGTAAACAAAAGTATAAATAGGACTAGGGTTGAGTGCTTTGATTTATTGCTGCTCCCTTTGCAATTAATCTTTCCAATAATCTGGAAATTTGCATATACCACAAATTTCACACACACACACATCATATGCACATACTTGTACACATATATTCATCTAATAATTTAAAGGGTTCTAAACATGTAAGGAGAGATTAAAGAATGAATTTTTCTTCTTCCCCACTTAGTTCAATAGCTAGCTGGCCCCCTCCCAGTTCAATGTTCTACTCTAGCATTTCTCTGCTCCAGTTCCTGGGATAGTTTGTTCTCTGGGAATAAGAAAATGATGGTTAAAAAAGAAAAAATTCTTAAGAAACAGTTCTATCACTAGTGGCCCAAACAGATCTGTTTGTTTATTTGTTTTGAGGGAGCTTCCTCCAGAAAAAGCTAGACATAACAAAGGGAATGTTTTCTCTGCTGGTGAAAGAGAAGTTAGCTGAAAAAGGGAGACCCAAATGTAATCAGCACAAAGATCTTGAAGAGCAGACTCAGTGTGCCTGGGAACATTGATGTGTGTTGTGTGTTAAATTGCATTCCCCCCAAAAGAGATGTTTAAATCCTGACCTTCTATACCTGTAATTGCCACCTGGTTTTGGAAGTAGTATCTTTGCTAATGTAATCAAGTTTAAGATGGAGCCATATTGGATTAAGGTGGGTCTTGATCCAATGACTGGTGTCCAAAGAGGGAAATTTGGACACAGAACCACGGAGAACGCCCTGTGACTACAGAGGCAGAGATAAGAGTGATACATCTATAAATCAAGGAGCACCAAGGATTGGGCCCAACTTTCAGTAGCTACAGGAGTCAAGGAAGGATTTTGTGGACTGCCGCCACTTGCTATCTATTTTAGCACCTGACTTTTTACTTAGCGAGTCTCAGATTGTAACTTATCTTTCTTTTTCCTCTTCTGGACTATAAATTCCATGAGGGCAGATGTCAATTCTGTCTTGTCCGCTATGGATCTGTAACCTAGAAAAATGTTCAAAAATTAGCATGTGCTCAAAAGATATTTCTTGAATGGATGAATGAATGAATGAAAGCACGCATCCTCTGGGGGTATCTGAAAGAGACAAAGAAAGGATCGCTCTTCAGTCCTGTGTCTTGGCAGGTGAAGCTTCATTAGTTCACAATATAGTGGAGCCTGGAGAATAGTAGCTAATTCTTCTCCGGTCCACACTGCTCGAACCATTCTTCAAGTCCCTGGAGTCTACATTCATCGGACATCAGACTTTTTAGAAGGACATGCACAAAGTCGATTATGTTTAGCAGTGAATGCTAAGGAAAGACAAAATGATCCCATGGCATGCCACAAAGACAAAGGAAAATCTTTTAAGAAAGAAGACATTTGGCACCATAATAATTATCTTCAAATGTTACAAGGCCACTACCGTAAAAGGTACCGTTTATGGTTTTGTTTTGATTTGTTTTATTCTTTCCTGTTTCCTTAGAAGGCAAAACAGGTACCAAGGATTACAATTTATAAAGAAGCAGATTTTGGAAGAATTTTCAAGCAGCTAAATGCAGTTAGTGATGTTGATGTCATTAGCAGCATTTCAAATACTGCTAAATAATCTTTTATCAAGGGTAATATAAAAAAAATTCAAGCGTCCAATGAGAGTGAGATGAAGAGAGTAGTTGAATTAAATAGTTTCATCAGTTCCTTACAATCTTACAAATTTATGCTTCTATGAAACTGAACATATAGATTAAGTTTCTTAAGTGTACTTGGGTTATTTTATTTAAAAGTACAAATGGAACCTGAGTGCTTTCTTTTTTTTAACTTCTATCACATTTTTTTTCCAAATCATTAGAGTTTAGTATCAATCAAGACCATTTCTTGAGTACTTTTCTACTCCTACACTTATCAAATTTGATGATTTGCCTCTACTAACACAATTTTAACAGAGTTCCTTTGCACTGTGCTGTTTTATTGCCAAATATATTAGGAGACACTTACAAAGCACAAGGTATTTCAGGTTTATTTTAGAGAGGACACATTGAGGTCAGGTAGTAATTCATTTAATAAAAGAAGCTACACTGTAGTTTAATCACTTACAAACATGGCTTAGCAAGCACTACTGCTTAGCAAGTGAGGCTTGTGGGTGCAGTGGAAGAATCTATGTATTTTCTCAAAGTTGAGTGTGCATATGCCATACAGCACAACCATTCTTTGCTCAGAGAGGAAGGAGTTTGGTTTACTCACTTGCCAATTACAAGAGCTTGCCAAAATACTAAGTCTCAGGAAAGAAGGGCAGGAAATTTTAATTTATCAATTTTAAGAGAGCACAGCTGGAGAATCCTGAGAGTAAATGTGTCACTTGGCAAAACAATAACATCGAGATGTTCTGAGAAATGATGACACTCCGTCTAATACAAAACAGAATAATAATAAAAATGATGAATATCTTAATTACCTTGAAATGGAAAAAAAAATAGTGCATGGTAGGAATAGAATAGATTTAGGACAAATTCTTGCCCACATCCACATTTTATTAGTTAGATGTAGCTCCACTTCTATAATCACACATCGCTTGCTGGAGAGAAAATTAAAAATATAGGTGTCGTGTCACTTGGCATTTTGACATTTAAGACTGGCTACAAACACATATCATTGTCGGGCCTTCTCTTCATGTTTCAGCGCCTATTTAATTGGAAAGGGACTCATCTCCTCTTCACCAAGCTGTGCCTGTAATCGAAAATATAAATAATTGTATCGTGCACGAGTCGAACAGTGCCTTGTTAGTGGGGAGAGGAAAATGGGCGATAGGCAAAGGAAGGTCATGGAAATAAAAGAAATAAAAGCCACCCTCCCCAAAGTTTGCACTTATCAAAAATTTGATTCATGAATCATATCCCTAGAGATTTTTCCACTTCAAACAAAAGTCCCCCTGGCTATTTACTGATTCTGATTTCTTTTTAAAGTGCTGTCAATAGAGAATCACAGCCAGACTATAGACACCTCCTGAATGCTACCTGTAATGGCATTATGATGTCACTCCACCCACATCAGCTAAGCCCCAAGTTCCATTATCTGATTAGTGCCCTTTCCAACAAAAATGAAACCTTAGAAGTTCCATCAAAATGACTCATCACATAGAAACAGGGTGAACCCACATGAAGTAGTCTCCGTGTCCAACAGCAGTGTGGACCTATAGCTTTCTAGTAATGACCACGGCCAGCCCCATGGCACTGGGACACAAGAGATTACTTTGTTGTCGTCATTTCCTGAGTCCCTTAGCTACTTATGACTCTCATAGGGCCACACAGTAAATCTTTGGGGTTGGAACGATAACTGATAAGACTGCTGAGTCATATTTGTGTTTATTGCAAAAGCAATTATGATGATTTATGCTTAGGAGGAAAATATAATAAAGGGAGACCCTCCTAGTTCTCCACCTCCTCACGACCATAAATTTTAATTGCTTGCTATTTTTTGATTCAAAAATGCAAGTGAAAGAACCTACATATTTTCTCAGAGGTGAGTGTACATATCAAAATCCAAAGTATTATAGATCGTGTTAAAATATTCTCTGAGGCAGAGCTTTGTAATAATAAACAATTCGACAAAACATGATTAAGTCAAGTTAATTGACGAACCACCAGCTAAGAAGCAAAATCTTTAGTCGCCAATGATAGAAATCTGCTTACGTGAGTAAGAATAATAAATAATAGTTATTAGAGCTATTATTTATATTTTTGTTTAGAGATTCCAAATGATTTTTTTAAAAGCTTTCCTCTTTGCTTGAGCCATTTATAGTTGGTATAGCAGAGAAAGGTTTTTTTTAAAAAATATGATTGGTTCATTCAGAGTTATTGAGTGACATATTTCATAGAAATTATTCTCCTTATAACATTAAAGATGAAAACATCCTGAGGAACTCACAGTCTAAATACAACAGGTATGAGAAATTTGAGAATAGAGTTATATCCATTGTCCCATAAGAGCGTAAAGCTATAAATGAAATAGAAGAGAAAGTGCAGAATATAGGCTGAAAATGGAACTAATGAGTCTCAAGTGTCCATTGGAGCTTTATATGTGTGGTGTGTCATATTTGAGGTGTCCTTTCCCAAAGACTCTTAGTGCTTATTGGTCTAATACTTGGGACATTAGAAGTTAGAAAGAAGAGAAAAGCAAAAACAATAAAATCAAAAGGCTAAGAATATTTCTCAGCTTAGTTTGGGAAACAGATGATATTTGGAGAATTTCAGGCAAAATAAATAGCAATATATAAGTAAATTGTAAAAGAATAAGTGGAAATTTGGGAGACATCTACCTAGATACTTTAGAGGAGTTAATTTACTTTTGAGAAATAATTTTAATTATTTTAATTATTCAGCGGCAAAAATACTTATTGTTCTAAGTCCTGTGGATAATATAATCAACTATATGATGCTTTTTCAGTGCAGAGAACTTACTATCTCATTGAATTCTAGCCGTAGCACAGAACACAATAGAAATGATGCATCACTCGATTCTAAACCGTTGACTGAGCACTTCTGATTCAAGATGTCTGGCTTTATCTGTCTTTCTTCAAAAAATAATATTAAAATGCCACGAAAACAAAACCTCAGCAGTCCTGTGAAGCCAGGCAATGTATCCTTGGAACACCAAAACATAAAAGCATTTCTGGGGAGAACGAAGAGATGGAGAAATGCAACCGAACTGAATCATGCTAAGTAATGCTAAGTTCAAAGACAATGGGGTGGGGTCTAGAAAGAATGTGCTGTGATTTTCCTGTTGTTTGGGCAGTTTTGAGACCATTATTAAGGCAGTCTGGAGCAGGCCTCCCTCTGTTCCATCCTTCCCTATTCAGTGGTTTCTCCCAAGCCTTTGCTGGTAGGCTGGACCTCCAGCTAGCTGAGCTCTCCCATGAGTGTGGTGCGGGCCAGGAGGTCCCCTGCCCATACTTCATGAGACTAATTCACAAATATCCCCTTTGTGCCCCAGTGTGATGCAATGGAATTATGGGTGCAAAGGATCTGGCCTGCAGGCCCATCCGATGGTTCCTGGAGATCAATCCCTGACCATACCAGGGAGAAGGATACTGATCCCAAGTCTCTCATGGGGTGCCCAAGCTTGTTCAATGTCACTCCCCCTGGGGGGGGGGTGTTCTGCTCTGCTGGAGTCCCTGGACAAGCAACGCCAGGGAGGGCTGGTAGGCAGGGAACCCACAGTCCGAGCACCCCTCAGTCTGCTGCAAAACCCCAAAAGGAAGTGCCTGAGCCCTGTTAATGCCCTGTGGAAGGCTCCATGTGGTGGCTCGATTGCCTCTCTCAGCGGCCCCCAATGGAGGAGCAGAAATGGAGAGAAAGAGTCTAGGTGGGGAGGAAAGTCCTTCCTCTGGTCATCTCCAGCCCTCTCTCTGGGAGACAGTCTGCCCCCAGAATCATGGGGCTCTGGAGTCACACAGATCACCCGGGACCCACTGGCTCCCTGTGGCTCCTGCAGTCTGGGCCAGTGCTGGGAACTGTCTGAGTGGGGACGAGCAAGATGGCACCTGAGGGGTTGAGGCCTCCTTGGGGAGTACAAAGGCACCTGGTGTGCAGAGAAGCAATATGGCACCTGCCAGCCAGCTCAAGTTTGTGGAGCGGGAGGGTGGGAGCTTGGTGTCCCGTCCACAAGAAGCTCTCTACTCATTGGTGCCAGCAGTCTCTGGACTAGTGATGGTAGAAAGTCTGTCTAGCAGCTTGGGAGCCCACCATCAGTCCAAGACACAAGGGAGGAGGAAGTTAACCAATCCTCCTACACTTCTCCCTTGGTCCCCAAGCCTCTCAGGATTTATTTTCCACTGATATCTCTCTCCTTCCGGTTTTGCTCCACAACCTCTTCCTGTGGAGTCTCCTGCAGCTTCAGGCACCCTTCGTTTGGACCCTCTTCTGACCTATGCTTGTCTGTCTGTTCGTTTTTTCTCTTTCATCTAAAACTTCTCCTTCTTACAGAGACGCTCTGGCTTGGGGTGGCTTTGGTCCGCCATCTTGCTCCCATTTCCAAGCTGTCAGCTCTCAAATGTCAAGATCTGATAAAACTGTTGTATAACTACTCCAGTCTGCTGTGTATATTCCTCCATAGTTTTCTCTGTGTTTAAAACGTTTCATAATATTCAAACTCTTATAACTAACTCAACAAATATTAAGTATAATTTTTAAAGAGTGAGCAAATAACTCAGTAAGACATGTAGTTTATTCTGTAAATGGGTTAATGCAAGATATTTTAAAAATTATTAATAATCGGAAGAGTCTAAATGCCTTTCCCAGTATCACACAACTAATAAATAGCAGAGCCAAAATTGAAACTGAAGTTTTCACTAAAGACCTCATTCTACTGCTCAAAATATGAGAATAAAATATAGGCGCTGATTTAGAATATTGGCTGGGTAGGCCTTCTTAAATAAGATATAATTCCTCCAAATCAAAAAGTCCAATATCTACAAACACAATTAAATAATGGAAGAAAAATATTTACAACATATATATTTTTAAAATCATTACTGTTTAGAATATATAAAGAACTTTGACTCAAAGAAAAAGATGACACAATGAGAAAACAAAGCATATAAAGAGGCAATTCATTAAAAAAAGAAATACAGAAAGCCAAAAAAATGAGAAAAATATTTCAAAATAAAACAATATTAGATTGAAAGAATTTAAACGATCCATCACATACACTCCTGCTCACTGTATGGGGAAGCATTTTCTTATACCATTGTTGGGATTCTAAAACTGCATGGTAATTTGTCAGGATCTCTCAAAACTAAAAATGTGCTTATCACACAAAGCAAAAGTGTTCTCACATAAACTCAAAGCTTTATGTACAGCATTGTTTGAAATCATGAAAAATTGAAGGTATCCAAAATGCTCATTGATTAATGGTTAAAGTGTATAAAGTAGCCACACTGTGGAATACAGTGTAGCTATATTATATATAGTGATATACTATATGCCATGTCAACAATGAACAATACAATTTCCAATGCTAGTCCCATAAGATTATAATGGATTTGAAAAATTCCTATTGCCTAGTGACATCATATAACAACACATTTTCATATGTCTTGGTGACGTCAGTGTAAACAAATCTTTTGCGCTACCAGCCATAAAATATAGCATATGTATCTATATAATATATGACACTTGGTAATGATAAACAACAATGTTGATGGTTTATGTATTGACTATACTACACTTTTTATCATTATTTTAGGGTGTTCTCCTTCTACTTATTAAAAAGAATTAACTGTAAAATAGCCTCAAGCAGGTCCCCCAAGAAGTATTCCAGAAAAAGGCATTATTGTCACAAGAGATGACAGCTCTATGCATATTATTGCCCCTAAAGACCTTTCAGTGGGACAAAATATACAGATGGAAGACAGAGATATTCATCATCTTGATCCTGTGCAGGCCTGGGCTAATGTGTGTGTTCCTGTCTTTGTTTTTAACAAAAAAGTTTAAAAAGTAAAAAAAAAAAAAAAAAGAATAAAAAAATCTTAAAAATGAAAAAAAAAGCTTCTAGAATAAGGCTACAAAGAAAGAAAATATTTTTGTACATCTGTAAAATGTGTTTAAGTTTTAAACTAAGTGTTATTACAAAAGTCAAAAAGTTTAAAAAATTAAGTCTATAAAATAAAAATTTACAGTAAGTGAACGTTAATTTGTTGTTGAAGAAAGAAAAATATTTTTTCATGCATTTAGTGTAGCCTAAGTGTACAGTGTTTGTAAAATCTACAGTAGTGTTCAGTAATGTCCTAGTTCTTCACATTCACTCACCACTTACTCACTGGACTCACCTAGGACACCTTCCAGTCCTGCAAGCTCTATCCAGGGTAAGAACCCTAAACAGGTGTACCATTTTTTTTATCTCTTATACTTTATTTTTTACTCTACCTTTTCTATGTGTAGATACGTTTCAATACACAAATAACTTACCATTGTGTTACAATTGCCTATGGCATTCAGTACATGACATGCTGCACAGATTTGTAGTCTAGAAGCCATAGGCTATACCCTATAGCCTAGGTGTACACTAGGCTACACCATCTAGATTTATGTAAGTACATTTTATGATATTTGCAAGACAATAAAATTGCCTGACAACACATATCCCTTTCATTAAGAGACACGTGACTATATAGGATTACATCATATCATCACATTATATTATATTTTAAAATTATACATTATATAGAAAAATAATGACCTACGTACACATGGGCTGACATGGAAAGTCACCAAGAAAAAAGACAGCACATCAAAAAACAATTTATGCAGGATAAT